TTCAGAACTGCTGCTGAGACAAAGAGCTGAGCTTGGGAAAGGTGACCAGTCCTGCACCTGTGAGGAAGCATGAGGACAGCATCCCTCCCTCTTCCTGCTGGCCCCAGGGCCACCCAGCTTTCAGGCCTGAAAGCAAGGAGCCAGCCTGTGAAATCATCTGCCTGTCAGGAAATGGCATTAGCAGGGAACTTTCAAAATGAGAAATCTCAGGACAAGAGATTTTGTTAGTTTCTGAAATCTTCCTGTCTAAACACTGTGGACAGCTATGAGGTCATTAAAAAGAAAAAAGAAAAATAACAACCCTCTGCATCAAAGGGATTTGTCCCAAGATAACACTAAGGCAGAGCTGTGGCTCCTGGGTCACTTGATCTTAACTCTATCCTATTCCATAAAGTGCCTGCTTGACCTCACCACTTATCAACCACACTCTTCAGAGATGCTCTTAGGAGAGAAGTAAGGATTCGGAGGGAGGAAAGGAGGTTGAGAAGTGGCATTACTGCTCACCAGCTATATGTTAGACGCCATGCTGAATGCTCATCTTTTTCTATTCCTATGTCATCACAGTTCTATGAGGCATACATTAGCTTCACCTGGGCAGTGAGAAAGGCACTACCTCAATAAGGCACTGTTACTTTCCAGAGTGGTCATAGCTAGATGAATGGCAGAGCGGGGCTCAGTCCTGAGTTTCTGCAATGCCACATCTGGGAAGGGCTGTCTGAACTCTTGGAGGTGATGCGCAACCGACTCAGGGCCAGCATATAAACAGGCCTGACTCACTGCTTCCCCTGCCAGTCATGGTGGTGTGCACTGGGTAGAAAAGGGCTGCTATTCCCCTGGCAGGGAGCTGCTTAAAAGCCTCCACTAAGATGTAAATGCCATCAATGAGGAAGTCTTTGTGGCTGGAGCCACTGTTGGGTGGGATGATGTTATCTGAGGTTCCTACCCTGACAGGTGAGGGCCTGGGGCCAGGGTACGGTCTTGCCAGGCAGGCTCAGGCAACTCCCATCCCATGCCCAGGCTTGTGGGCCCAGCACTGAGGTTTTGTGCCTGGGACAGCCAACTGGGCCACATCTGGTGTTGTCCAGAGTTGAAACACTCTTTACCTCTCTCACAGTTCCTAGGTGGCACTGTAGCGACAAACAGTGGCTCCCATGGCAGTACTCTGTGGTTAGCCCCAGTGTCTGGATGCCTGATGGGACCAGGGACCTCAGGAAAATGTTCTCATTGTCTTGTGTTCAGCCACGGTGAAGAGAGGACTCAGATTCACCACTGAAGGCAGGGCTCAGAAGAACAGGTAGGGGGCCTATAGACCTGGGTTCTGGTTCAGGCTCAAGCAGTTCCCACCACTGTGACCTCAGGCAAGTTATCCACCCTCTCTGAGCCTTGACAAGCCTCAGTATCCTCATGAATACAGAAGAGACAACACCCACTTTATAGAGTTGTTATGAGGATTCAACAATGCCAGAAGAGTGCTTGCTCAGCACCTGGGCTGTTGTTGGCTTAGAATAAATGCCTCATTAAGCTGTTTTTATTCTCCCGGAGCCAAGTCACCAACCACAGCTTCAGTGTGTGAAGGTGGGGGCTGAGCAGGAAAGATGTGGGCTCACCAGGCTGCTTCCTGTGTGGCCTTGTGCCAAGCTTGCATGTGGGTATGCTGTCTGGGTTTCGCATCTCACCTGGACCAAGAGGTCTGCCAGAGATGGCTAGGGACCCTAATGTTACCATGTTTTGGTGGTAAGGGCGGTCTTAGCTTCTGGGAGAATAGCAATCTGCTGAGATACCTACTTTGTTCCCACTGAGGCAGCCCCTCTCCAGCCCAACTTCATCTCTCTCTGTCGGAGGAGCCACATAGCAAGACCAAGATCAGTGTTCCCAGACATGATGCTACAGGCCCAGCCTCTGGGGTGCAGCTAGAATGCCCAAGCAGGTTCCCCCCCCTCCAGATAAATTAGGAGCTTTCATGGAGTGGGCAAGGGCAAGGTATAGGGTAGGCTAAGGATAGGCATCCATCACTTGAAAAGCAAGCAAACGGGAAGTAGTTTAGCTCAAAAAGTGTCAGAGAGCTGGAGCCACGGGGACTCACGGAGGCTCAGAGGGTCAAGCTGAGTGTCCAGGGTCACACAGAAAGCTAGAATCAGACCCAGGACGTACCTGTCCCTATCTCAGAGGAGTCTGTACCATAAACAGCAGGGTGTCAAAGCGGAAGAGGCCTTATTTTACAGATGGGATGAAAAGGCTTGTAGAAGAATGGGGGCAGGACAAACACCTAGCTCTCTGGGCTCCCAATATCCATGCTCACGGTTCAAGTCTTTACGGGATGGGTGCAATGCAGATGGGAACACAGCCCCTCCTAGCAGCTGTGCTGATGTGACTGAGGGTGCTGGGTCACTTTCTTGCCCCAGGACCTTTCTGTCATGCTGACACAGGGCAGGGTGAGGAGCAAGTGGGCAGGGTGAGGAGCAAGTGGGCAGGATGACTCGTCCCCAGCAGCCAGTCCAGTGTCTCAGTTTCATATTAGGGGGCTCAACAAGTACAGTCTCAATTCTAGGCTCAGGAGGGGACATTCTCCAAGGACAAGAGCAGAGAGGACAGCAAAGGGGCAAAGAGATGAGAGGTAACTGGAAGAGAGAGGTAAGGCTGGGAGTGCTCTCAGCAGATGGGCCAGGGAGGAGGAGTGGCCAGCCTGGACCAACTGGCCCTCCCTGCCCTGCATAGAACTCTGCCCTGTGGGGTCAGGCAGAAGAGCCCAGGTTAAGGGCAACAAGGGCTGCTCTCTGCTCCTTTACCCAGCAGCCAGTGGGGCCCCCTTTAGGCAGGGACTAACCAGTTTGGCCTCAGTTTTTACCTCTGAAAAATGGGGCAGATAACACTTCCGGAGATTATAAACTGCCAAGTACTCGGTAAACAGCACCTAGTATTATTAACTTTTCACACACACACACACACACACACACACACACACACACACACACACAAGCCACCACATATCCCCACCATTCCTCTGGGATAGATTCAGCAGGGAAATGTTGTGGGCCTTGCTCCCATACCACTCCCCTCAGTGCCTCACTTGCAAGACAAAACTACATGACCTGTGTCCTGACTAGCTGGTCCCCATTCAATCAAGCTTGCCAAATCTCACACAAGCACTCCCGTCAAGGGCAGAGCATGAGTCTCTATTCTCCTCAGAGTGAAAGGCACAGTGGGGCCCACCTGCCAAGGAGGTTGCAGGAGGCCCTGCCAGAGGCTCCCATCAGGCCTGTGTTCAGATGTGGGAGCTACTTCTCTTGACTAGATGGTTTGGGCAAGTGACACTAAAAACTCTGTGGGGCTTTTGTGAGAGAACAAATGAGGCTACAGGGGTCCCAAGAGACTACAAAGGATGACTAAGCCTCTGCTCTGGCCAGAGGATGTGGGAGGAGGTGAGGGAGGCAGAAGGTGAACCTGGCCCCAGGCACCCCTATCTGGCTCTATCACTGGGCCAGGCCACCTGTCTTTCTGTCTGGGAAAGATTAGACACTTCTGTTGTTCCCATGATAGACTGGGATCTGGTGTCAGCCTCCTTCCCACTACTGGTGGGGAAGGCATATTTGGAGGAGAAAGAGACCCCCACAGGGCCTCAATTTCAAATGGGAGTGAAAACCCTCCTAGCTACCTGGGTACAATGACCTCAAGCAGGAGATTCTGATGTCAGCAGGAGTATGGGAGGCTACATAACCTGAAATCCATCTCAGTCCTTCCCTCTTTTTCCTTCTCACCCTTGTCACCCGATCCCATCCAGACAAGAGCTCAAAGACAAAGCTTTTTTATCTCCACCATCCCCATTTTGCAGATCAGAAAACTGAAGCAACAAAGTTACCTGGGTTAGCCAGCAAGTTGGGACAAGGCCTTGGCCTTTTCAGAAATGTAAGCTATGTATGGCGGCCTTGTCTGCTCTTGACCTGTTTGTGGTTTCTCTCCTGAAGCCCTGTCAGCCAGCAGGGTGGGCCACACAGAGTAACTGCCTAATTCTGGGTCTGTTTCCTCTCCTGGCCATCACCTGGGAGGCTCAGCTGGGAATATCTCACTCCCAGACCCCAAAGCTAGGGCAGACATTATCAATCAACTACCACTCTACTGAGCCCAGATCTGGCTTCAGAATCCTTTTTTTTAAATAAATAATTTTAATGAAAATTTACAGAGATTTAGGAGTTCCATTCATTCATTGTTGCACTTTTCTCCCTGCCCATCCCTACCCCTCCAATTCACTCTTCTCTTTGAAAAGTAAAAGAAAAATTCTTTGTTATACAATCCCTCCCCCCAAGTCCACTCCACTGTGCAGCCTTCATTCTGGACTCCTGTCGTGTCAATAATACCTAATCATATACCCCTTTAAAATAGAATCCTTTTCTTAGATGTGCTAGTGGTGAGCACAGATCATGTGCCAGCAGAGGATAGCCACATCTGGGCCTCTGTGATGGGTTCCTCACAGCCTGATATGGGAAGGAGAAGGGTCCAGACTATCGAGGTTTCTTTTAAGGGCAAAATTCAGTCCAGGTGAACAAGACCTGGCTACATCCTGTCTCCACCACTGAGGGCCGACTCCACCTGCACAACGCGTCCTAAGATGCAAAGGCCTTCCTGCCGCAAAGCTCACAGAAACGCTCACGAAAGATATGCACCAGCTCCTGGCCACTCGGTACAGCCAGGGACGAGCCCAACCTGAGCCAGGACGCCTGGCGAGCCTTGGTCATCCATCCCACTGCCCCACCTCTTCAGCCCGCAAGTCAGCGGGGGAAAAGCCACACAGAGCTTCCTGCCCTGGCAGCGAGATTCCTCCCTAGCTCACTCCATTGCATGGGCCTTTGAGTCACCTCCAGAGGACCCAAGCATCTTGTCCTTGTGCAGAGAACCCGAGGGGTGCACAGCAGCAAAGGAACCCTTCTCTGGGGAAGCTCACGTAACAGCTCTGGGGTCCGAGTGAGCGGGTTCGAGTGACCTTGAGGCCGCTGGCCAGAGCTCACCTTTTGCGCTTGACTGATCATCTTGCGCACCACCTCTTTGATGTGGGCCTGCCCGTCGATGGGGGGCTGCATGTAGACGCTGGCGCGCGTCACACCACGGTAGGCGATGGTGTCCGGCCAGCCCAGGTCCAGCTGGGGGATGGAGCGGTCAGACTTCTGGGGCCAGTACTCCAGCGAAGGCAGTGGCTCGGTCTCCTTAGGGGCCCCGTCGTCCGCCCCGCTGGCCCCCTCACCTTCGCCGGCCTCCTCCGGGCTTTGGGCCCCACCGGAGCCCCGCAGGTCCTCTGATCCGGGGTCGTACACCTCGATGGTCTCCAGGATGCGCTGGAGTTCTAACTCCGAGAGGAAGTCGCGGATGTTTTCCCGCTTGAGCACCTCGTAGAAGGCGTTGGGGCCGCGCGCCGCCAGGGCCTCCAGCGCCAGGCGCTGCTCCTCGCTGTAGAAAAACTCGGGCTTCGCCTCGCTCGAGCGCCAGTTGACGTGGCCATCGTCCAGACACTGCACCTGGGAGAAGGCCATGGTGCCCTGCCGGCGCCCTGCGGCGGGAACGGTAACGGTAACGCGGCCGGAGGCGAGCTGTCCGGGAAGTCCGGTGCCAAGAAGTCCGGCGCGGGGAGACTCCGCGTCTGCGCCTTAGTCCGCCGCCCGCGCACCAGGTGAGACGGCGGGGACGGGGCGCGGCGGGGCGGGGCAGTCTGGCCGGGGCGGTGACTCCCCGGGAGCACCCTGAACCCCAGCGACTTTAGGCGGGGCCAGGTCAGGCTCCGGCTTGAGGGAAGCTCCTGAAGCTGGTGGTTGGGAGCCGAGGGGTCGTCATGAGCACAGGGCACACAGCCTCTGGGTTCTCAAGAGCCACTCTGGTTCGGCCGCTCCATGCCGGAAGAGAGGTAGGAGCCAGGTCACCGCGAGGTTGGGCTGGCTCACCTGGGGTGGGCGGGGCGGCGTCCAGGACGGGCTCTCTCACGTGGGGAAGGGTGGCGACTGAGTGCAGAGGCGGGGTGACTCAGGTGTGGTCACGTGTCGCTGGGTGTGGCCGGAAGCTGATTCACCGGGTCCCCACGCCAGTACCCGAATTCTGAGCAGCTCTGGGGCCAAAGGCAAGAGCGAGGAGCTCTGTAGTCAGAGGGAGAGTTCTGCCCCAGGTCACACCCCTGCTCCTCTGGTGACCCTTGTGGAGGCAGGATTGGGATCCAAAGGCCTAAACTCCCAGGTGAGGGCAGCACAAGGCCTGTGCTGAACGACGTCAGCAGGGATTGGTGAGCATTTGAGGGAGGCTCCGCGTCCCAGGAGGGGATCTTTCTTATAGGGTTTGTCGGGGCCACATCTGAAGATTGGCTGTCGGAATGGGAACAGCAAAGCGCATTGAGTCTCACCTGACAAGTGGCATCCACCTTTCTTCAGGTGCCTCAGCCAGGGACCCGACCAGCCCCTCCTACCTGGGCAGGGGAGAGGTGAGGAGAGGACACTGTCTGAGGAACTTCCAAGATTGAACAAGTTGGATGGCTCCCACTTTCCACCTGCGCAGAAGCCTCCAGTCCCTCTCTCACTCCTCCTACCCTGAGCCCTGACTTTCCTCTCTGGCCTGACACCTCTGTGGCCCCATCAACTTACCGCTTAAGTTTCAAGCCAGTAGCTCCCAAGTGTTCCCAGCGGCTCCAAGGTCCTCCCATGCATCCTGACCCGGCCACCGACATTAAGGGGAGCAGATCGCGTAGAGGGAGCACAGGCTGAGAGGCATACCCTGTTTTGCCATCCACAACAAGATCCTCATCAGTCTCGGTTTTTCTTTTGTACTTACCACTGGAAGGTCTCTAGGTTGCTGACATCTGCAGTTACAGGCCAATAATTATAGATTCATAGAAAATTACCAAACAGTCTCTCCCAGTGGTAAGGTCTTCCTTGACTTGACAGAAGTACAGCCTGCAAAGCTTGTTTAGATGGCACCAGTTTACACACTTGTGTGTGGAGCTATGCTGTTATATTGTGTTTTTGTGTCACCACTATCGCTATCAAGATACACAATCCTTCCAAACCACTATGACCTCTTTTGTATATCTCCCCCTTCACTATTCCTAACCTCTGCAAATGGCCAATCTGTTCTCCATCTCTATAATTTTAAGACTCTTCTATAAAATGGATCCTGCAGTATATAACTTAACAGAATAATAAGATCATGGGATACAGTGGTAAAATTCTTACCTTCTGTGCAGGACACTTGGGTTCGACTCCCAGCTAGTGCATCTCATGTGCAGCAACTACTCATTAGTCAGTGGATGCTTGCCTTGTTGTTATGATGCTAAAAAGGTTTCAGAAAAGCTTTCAAACTAAGGATACAGGCCTGGAAATCTAATTCTGAGAGCCATAGGTGTCACGTCCTTATGGCCCCATTCCATTGTGGGAGGAGTTGCTATGAAGCTGGGCTCACAAAATGGCAGCTAACCACAACCTTCTGAAATGGCCTTTTTTTACTAGACTTAATTCTGTGTAAATATATCTAGGTTGTTGTATATTTGTTCCTTTTTTCTTGCTTTTGGAGGTCCTTCAGGGATGTGAATGGTTTGTACTCAACTATTAACCTAAATCCATTCAACTTGTTGTTGAGTTAGTATAGACTCATAACTGATCTCCAGCCAGTTTTCTGAGGCCATAATGTACACAGGAGACTACTCATCTTTCTTCTTTAGAGTTGCTGGTGAATTTGAACTCCCTACCTTTGAGTTGGAAACACAACTCCTTATCCACTAGTCCACCCAAGCTCTTACTAACCTAAAATATTTTTTATTAGACTGTACTCAGTGAAAGACGTGAGTCAAGGTTTTGTCCTTTTTCCTTATGGATTCAATCTGTATGTTGAACAAATAAGAAGACTAGATTCTGTGAAGAAGAATGTAGCATCAGATCAAGATTGGAGGAATACTCATCAACAACCTGCATTATGCAGATGACACAACCTTGCTTGTCAAAACTGAGGAGGACTTGAGGCATTTGCTACAGAAGGTCAAGGATTGTAGTCTTCAATATGGAGTGAAGCTTGACCTCAAGAAGTCAGAGATTCTCACCTCTGGGCCAATTAGTAGCACCATGAGGGAGGAAGAAGAGATTGAGGTTGTTAACAGCTTTGGTTTGCTTGGTTGCACAATCAGCACTCAGTCAACACAATCAACATTGGTACCAGCAGCCAGGAAATCAAAAGACAAATTGCACTTGGAAAATCTGCTCTCAGAGACTTCTCCAGAATACTGAAGAGCAATGATGTCAGTCTAGAGACCAAGGTGTGTCTGATCCAGGCTATGGTCTTTGCAGTTACTTGCTGTGCATCAGAGAGCTGGACAATAACTAAGGAAGACAGAAGAAGAGTTCATGCCTTTGAGCTGTGGATCTGGAATAGAATATTGAACCACCAAGAAAACAAATAGGTCTGTCTTGGAGAGGGTGAAACCAAGTTTCTCCTTGGATACAAGTATATTGAAGCTCCATCTTACATACTTTGGGCACATGGCCAGAAGGGATCAGTCCTTGGAGAAGGACATTAAGCTTGGGTGGAGGGACAGTGCAGAAGAGGAAGACTCCAGATGAAATGGATTGACACAGTAGCTGGGACAATGGGATTAGGTGTGTCAGAGTCAGTGAGACTGCCTCAGGGCAGGACAAGGTTCAGAGCAGTTTTACTTAGGGTCTCTATAAGTTGCAGGTAACTCAATGGCACATAACAACAACAACAACCCAAAGATCTGATGGTTTGTGTCCTCAATGATTAAAAACCAAGCTCACTGTTCCAACTCATGGTGTCCCTTCATCAGGAATCTTAAATCTTAAAGGAAGGAGGCTGTACACATTTCTTCATTTGATGGATTTAAACTGCTGAATTTTTGCTTAGCAGTGGAACAAACAATGCACTATGCCACCAGAACTACTTTTCATAAAGATTAAAGCCAAGAAACCAAGGATTTATTGTTGCTGATAGGTGCTGTCATATTGACTATGACTCACAATGGTCCTATGAACAAGGGGTAGGAACTTTGCCCTATGTTGCACCATAGTCAGAATCTTTACCAGAAATCCACTGTTGCAGTCACTTTATCAATCCATGTTGTAGGGGGTGGGGGTTCTTCCTCTCTGTCATCAATGCTGTTCCTTTGTCCTTTTCCAAGAACTGGTGCCTTCTGAATACATGCCCAAAACATGTGAGATGAAGTTTAACCAGCTTTTCCTCCAAGAAGCACCTGGTTGGACTTCTTAAGATGGATTTTATTCTTTTGGCAGTCAGCTATTCAGTACTCTTTATCAGTACCAAAATTCAATGACATCAGTTCTACTTTGATCTCCTTATTCATGGTCTAACTTTTACATGAATATGAAGCAACTAAAAATATCATGGCTTGGGCCAGTTATACCTTAATCTTCAAACTGACATCCTTGTTCTCTAGCACTTTAAAGAGGTCCTTGATGTAGATTCTCCTAATGCAACTCATCTTTTGATTTTTTGACTGCTACCATGGGTGTCAGTTGTGGAACCAAGTAAAATTAAATCCTTGACAACTTCAACCTTTTCTCTATATATATATCTTGATAGTCCAATTGTGTGAGGGTTTTTGTTTTCTTGATTTTGAAGTGTAGTCCATATTGAAGGCTGCAGTCTTTGCTCTTCTACAGTAAGTCGTCTTCTTCATTTTCTGTCAGCAAGATTGTCTCATCTACATAGTGTTGATTGTTGATGAATCTTCCTCCAATGCTGATGCTATATTCTTCTTTATGTAGTCCAGCTTCTTGAATGATTTGCTTAGCAATAGGTATAGAGAAAGGATACAACCCTGATAAACGTCTTTCCTGATATTAAGCCATGCAGCCCTTTGTTCCTTTTAAACAACTGCTTCTTGGTCTATTCACAGGTGTTCTGGAATTTCCACTTTTCTCAGTGTTATCCATAATTTATTATGATGCATCTCAAACTAAAACAACCCAACTCATTGCTGTCCAGCCAGAACTGCTCATGTCTCCAGTGAGTTTTCTGAACCTGTAAATCACAGAGGAAATTGTCCATCTTTCTTCTATGTAGCTATTGGTAGATTCCATACGCTAAATGTGGTTAGCAACAACACTCTCCATGGACACTACCCCAGAGATCCCTTTATTACGATACACACAGTCTAATGCTTTTGCATAGTTGATAAAACACAAGTAAACATTTTTCTGGTATTCTCCAATTTCAGACAAGCTACATCTGACTTCAGTAATCACACCAGTTGTATATGTAGATGTAGTGAGCAAATATTTTCTTCCAATCTATGGCTTGTTTTTTCCTCCTCTTTACAGGTTCTTGTGAAGAACATGCTTTTTTTTTTACATATTTTTTAGATCTAACATAATTGTTTCCCCTTCTATTTATGGACTGTGTTTTGATGTCAAACCTGAGAACCCTTTGCCTACTACTAAGCCCTGAAGAATTTTTTTCCTAAATGTTTGATAGTTTATATTTAGATCTTTTGCTCATCTTTAATTCCTTTTTGTATAAGGTGTGA